ATTGTTCCCTCCTCCTTCCCAGGGAAAATATAGGAACACATACTTATCACACACAGACAATTATTTACTTACTTGGTATTATGGGCTGAATTGTATCCCCCCATAAAAGATACATTGGAGTCCTAACCCCCAGTACCTCAGAATGTGGCCTTATCTTCAACCAGTATCTGTACAGAAGTCATCAAACTAAAATGAGGCCGTTATGGTGGGCTCCAATTTAATATGACTGCTGTCCTTATAAAAAGGGGGAATTTAGACACAGAGGCAGACATGCACACAAAGAGAATGCCTCCTCCCCAACTCAAGTCACTTCTAGAGGAAAGTTCTCTCCCTCTCTCTCTCCCCCTCTCTCTCTCTCTGTCTCTCTCTGATGTCTAGAAGGTCCAGGGTTTCTACAATCATTGTTGCAATTATTGATCAAACTTTACATTCTCTTTGGCCATAAGGAAGGGTAGTGAGTGGATTAAAAGAGAGATCAATTTTAGCAAAACAAATTGGAGCTGGAGCTGCCTAGAGAGGAGAATGATGACAAGTAATGAGGCCCACATCTGAATGTGTTCAAACCTAGGAAGGCTGAAGGAAACTCTGCTTAGGGTTGTTGCCATGAGACTGTTGAGAAATAGCTTTGCTGGTTGGCATCTTCTAGGAAGTGGCCTACTGATCAGTGTTTTGTAATTCCTGTGAGACAGAATCTGGGTAGCCATCCCCTCCTGGCGCTGTTGAAGATTGTGTGGGGAGCAGGATAAGTGTTTTGAGCAAGGGCTTGGTACAAGGTGCCAATTGCTTTCCATCAGATGAGTCTTTGTCAGAGTTCAATCTGCTTGTGAATTATTCTGGAATCCATTCCCAGCAGAGCCATCTGTTCACAATTGTTCTACCATCTGACCATTTACCCTCTATCAACACCTGTCCCCTGGGCACTCCCACTGACAGTTAGAGTCAACCCATTGTCCAACCTGGATAAACTGAGTCTGAGGAGAGACTTGGAAGGAGGGGAGGAGGAGGGAGACCTTTCAACACATTGGCATTCAGGGCCAAGATGTGTCTGGGGAGGCCCAACCAAGCCTTCACACAGAACTTGGGGAGAGAGCATGTGGCCCTGCCAGAACCATATTGTGCCCCAGGCAGTCTGATGTCTCCACAAATAATATTGATGCCTTTTGTTTGGAAACTCTTTGTGGAGGCTTCCCATTTCCCAACAAGCCACGCTAAATGCTGGTCCTCCCCCAAGCCGCTTGGCCTTTTGCACAGTCCCTCAGCCAACTGTGCAGGCAGATGAGGGGCTCTGAATGCTAATGAGGGGAACGGCTGGCATTCCTGAGGCACCCCAGCTCTGGGAACCCCGCCTTTGTTGCTAAGGAGCCTTGGAACTGTAGCTGAAAGGCTCTAACAAGAGGGGGGAGCGAGGAGAGGGAGAGAAGAAAGGCATTTGTGTTCAGAGCTTCACAGTTCTCTGACCAGCTCCAAAGCTGTCCAATTTCTGATCCCAATTAGAATATCAAACTCTGTTATTGTTTCTCTTAATAATCTTGGGAAATTCCTTTGAAGAGTCAGTGAGCACTTAGCAAACCTTTTGGACAGTGTGCTCCGTACAGTTGTACTTCTGCTTGTGTGAACAAACCACGTCGAGCATTCTGAAAACACCCTTTATTCCAGTCCCCAGAAGGCAGTCATGGGGATGGGAGAACTAGAAGAGGGTGAAAGCTGTGGAGTTTTCAAAATGTTTATGTGAGAGCTTTATTCAACAGATGTTTTCCAGGTGCCCACTTACTGGAGAATCTGGGTTCTGTGCTGGGGACAAAAGTGAGCAAGACCTTGGTCCTGGCTTGGAGTAACCTTGAGACTTGTTAGGGAGACAGACCTCACATAGTAAAGAGAAATTTGTGGGTTATTTGCTCTTACTGTGACCCAGAGAGCACTGTTGAAGTGTGCACCGGATTCTAACCCTTGCTTAGTCTCTTCCGTGCTGTAAGTCCTTAGGCAAGTACATTTATCACCTTAAGCCTCAGTTTCTCATCTGTACAATGGGCATAGTAATACCAACCTAGCTGGGTTATAGTGAAGACAAGTGCAGGTGAGAGAATGAGGAGCAGGAATGTGGAGGATATAGTTTATCAGGATCCCATTATCAGTGAGCCAACTGTGGGCTTGGAAGGTGTCTGTACCTGAAAAAGACAACTAATGATTTGGCCTATTGAATAGGGTAAATCAAAATACTGTCTAAGAGTAAAGTACTAAGCCAATTTCCCTTTATGGAGCATGTCTATGCACCAGGAATAATGCTGGGCAATTTGGAAGCATGATCTTCTTACCACAAGAGTAAGCAGTGAATTGCTCAGCATCACACATCTGGGAAAGAGTCTGCCCAGCTAGGGAGACCCAGTGCCTGTCTTCAGTGCTCTTTCTGTCTTCAGAAGCTGAGGCTTCCGAACATTTGGGGAAGACACAGGTGACACCATGTATCTCCAGAACATATAGGAAGTTAACCAGTCCACTGCACACAGGCACTCACTTGAAAAGATTTGGCTAGAGAAAGTTGGTCAAGACCACAGACACCCTCTACTGTGTTTGTTAGAACTTCACAATGACACAGCCATGAGGAGTATACAAAACACCACTGATCTGAGAAGAAAGAGAGAGAGAGAAATAAAAGGTTTTTTCATAAGCAAACCATGGAGAACTCCTAGCATAGAGGTCACAACAATATTTTGAAGTGTGATGACCTCATAGCATTTTCCTGTTTGTGTCCAGGGGTTTGGTTTGTTGATTTAACCTCTACATTGTCAACTTGGTATCTAAACTTTTCTCTATGACTAAAGTGGAATTTTTGTTCTTCTAGTGTTTACTTAGAGAAAAACTAATGAATATGTACTTCTGCAAAGAGCAAGTCTTGGATGTCTGCGCACAGACACACAAACACATGCAACAGATGTTGGGTAAAGTAGTGGATATTCTCAGATAGGAGTTGATGCAAGAGCAATGCCCACTTGGCTTTAGAAGGCAGATATATTTCAAAATTTATTTTGCTGTAGCAGAAACTTCACCTCCATATGCCATCTCACACAGACTGTTGTTCAAGCTTCCTGATTCTCAGCAGCTAACGGAAGGGACATAAGAAAGGTCCATCTCTACCGTGTGCAAGGAATTGTTCAAACGACATGGCCTTCAAGGTTTATAACACTCCTCTGTAAAGATAAGATTACTCCCACTTTACAGGTGGAAAAACTGAAGCTCAGGGAGAGCCAATCAACACGACAGAAGTACAGGGTATGTACCATCTGTAGTCATCTAGGTCTGGGGACACCTTTCATGCTATGTCAATGGAGTCCCCTCCAGTTGTCTGACTTGGTGGGTGCTGAGGTTCTCATCTATTGGGAGCTATACTAGATGCTGGACATAAGAATTGAGCCAGGTATAATCATTGCCCTTCAGGACCTTATGATTTAGTCTGATAACCCCAGCTTCATGTTCAGGGCCTTCCTTTACCTCAATCCCTTTTCCAATCCATTCCCCCACAGAGATGTATCTTAAGTATCATGTGACTAGTGCTTTCAAAATGCCCTATACATCTGGCCAATTGTCATCAGGTCAGGCCCAACCCAGCATCTTTCTTTTCACTTCCCTGAGGCTCTGTTTCCCCATCTGTGAAATGGAGCTGTAAGAACTGCCTTATTGCATTGTCAGAGTTGAGTGAAACAAAATATGTCAAGTTCCTAGTGCACAGTAGTTGCCTCGTGCATGTTGAATTGTTTGATCTAACATTCTAATTTTCCTCATTTGGTATTTTTAGCATGAGAAAGTCACATCTGTTGACTTACTTCTCTGGCCTAAAAGGCAGCTAGTAGGTCGAAGGGTTCTAGAATGTTAGAGAGGTGATCAGTCTGCCTCCAGAAGCATTTCTCTGGGCAACTCGAGGATTATAAAAATGAAAGCAGGTTAGACCAGAGGGCCCTTAGAGGTCGTTTATGTTAGTGGATCCAAATTATTTTGTTCATAAGGTTTTGTTCAAAAGACTTTATGAGACACCTGCTGTATACAATGGATAAAAGAGGGTACTCAGAGAGCTTTCTGTTTGCTTTTTCCCTTAAAACCAACTCGTCCATGCAGATGAGAAAACCAGGATCCAGGTCACTCGGCATTAATGATGGTCCTGGAAACATATTTGTATCTGAAGTCCTGGACCAGTGTTCATCAATAAGCTCGTGCAACCTGTGGTGTGTGTAAGTGTGTAAGTGTGTGTTGGTGTGGGAGGTGCAGAGTTGAGGGTGGGGGGATGTTAATGATAGAAGAACTGAAAATTGCTGTAAAGTTTTACTTGATTTTTCTGCCAAAAGAAGTGAAGAAAATGCTACCTATTTCTAGAATTCTTTGTCCCAGGAGTCCCTCCTCAAAACTTCTATCCAGTACTCTGGGAAAACATCCCTGGAGACAGTGTAACATTATCTAGTTATGTACTAGAGAAAACACTAGGCTTGTTCAGAAAACCTCAGTTGGAATTCTACTTCTTAGTAGTAAGATAATATATTGTTAATAGTTTTATTTTTCCTATAACGTGGAAATCTTTTCCAGAACAGTAACTTATCCAACAACGATGTATTTAGATCAATTATGTGACAGGCATTCTGGGGAATTGACAACATCTAGCCTGTTTTTTACGATATGAAAATGCAGGGTTTGCAAAAACACAGCTTGATCGGCAATGTAGAAAAAAAATATGTAATATTCATAATAAGCTTTATTAGAATAGAAGGGGATTTTAAGAAATTGGATTCTTGCCACCTCAGAAGAGAAAACCTGACTTTCTCGGATCACTTTGAGCTGCTTATGAGCGAGCATCACAGCCAGAAACCAAGGCCAAGTCCAAAGCATCTACATTAGCTGCATTGGCCTGCACCCTGACAGCGCCTGCCTCCACCACTACACTCGGGCTGGGGATCAACACGTGTGTGGGTAAAAAGGGAGATAAAGGAAACATCTGTTCTCACAATATGGGCTTGTTATCATAGCTCCTTTAAGTACCGGAGTGCTGGTTCCAAGAGCATATTTTCTCCGGAACGGAATCTCCTCAAGGCCTGGTCGATTTTCCGAGGGCTCAGGGACAGGTTGTAAATGAGGTTGTAGTTGTGAATGAGGCGCCTGGCTCGTTCCTTCTCCAGGATTCCTGTTAGTAGGTGGGGTTGGTGGGATGTTTTTAAAAGAGGATGGAGAAAACAAAAAAGAATACAAAATGTATTAGCTTGAATGACTTTGGAGTAACCATGAAATACTAATATTTTGAAACTTTAAGCTTCTTAAAAATCAAGTGACACCTTAAAATGATATTTCTAGTCCAGGTATGCATCATAGATGCCAGGAGGATTTTTAGGGTGACTTTGGGGAGAGGAGATGGGGGTCCAGTAAAATCTGTAGATAGATTCTAAAGCAACTTAAGCATGTTCTTTGTAGCCATAAAACTTAAAAAGCCAAGTTTTGAATTAGATGGGGTGTTTGCTAAAAAGAGTTTTTAATTGTTCTGGTTTATTTTTATCTGTGAAGTAGCCTATATAATAAAGAGCTAATATGCAAATGGTCATCACACCCTCGTGCTCTTGTGCCGGGGCTGGGGGACCAGAGGCCGGGCCAGGGCACCTGACGCTGCGCCTCCCGCCCTGGCACTGGGGCCAGGGGACCTGAGGCCATGCCCCTGGCCCCAGCATTAGGCCAGGGGACCTGAGGCCATGCTCCCTGCCCAGTGGGGCTTGACGGGGGACCTAAGGCTGCACCCCCTGCCCAGTGGGGCTTGATAGGGGACCTGAAGCTGCGCCCCCCACCCTGCGGGGCTTTATGGGGGTGGGGCCGGCTGGGTCTGGGTCTCGTGTGATTTGGAGGCGCACGCAGGTGGGTGGGAACTTAACTCTAGGTCCCGCGGCACATCCAAGACTCTGACAGGAGGGAGATTTTCATATACACTTTACTAATTTTCTTTCATCTCTGACACTTCTATTATAGAGAAAGGGCAAAGGCAATATTAAAATATTTCCTCTAATTAATTCCCTTTTAATGTGCACTAATTTCGTGCACTGGGCCACTAGTCCAAACATATACCTAAACATGCAGGATTCAAAAAGCACATTTTTATGCCTTTCTGGAAGTGTATTTACTGTGACTCCTTTCACCTTGCTGTGTAATCACAGGTAAACCACATAACTCCTTGTGGCTCAGAGTCTGAATCTGTCTAACAGAGATGGCGATGTTTATCATTATAGGATTTACTCTGGTATCCACGTGTTGTATATACCGGTGCCAACGTGTTTCCCATGGTAAGGTTAGGTAGGTTTCAATATTGGAAAGAGTTTAAGTGTAGAACATTCCATCAGCCAAGATCAACAACTCATTCATATGCCCCTAATTGTGAACTTACATATGTCAGACACTGTGGTTGGGAATATAAAAGGTTTATAAAGGTGGTCTATTACCTCAGGAAACTTCCAACCAGTTGGAGCTAAAAGATATGCAAAAAATTAACTAAAGTGCAACAACAATAACAATAATGGCTGATACTTATATATAAACTAGAGGCCTGGTGCACGAAATTCGTGCACTGGAGGGGAGGGTGTCCCTCAGACCAGCCTGCACCCTCTCTAATCTGGGACCCCTCGGGGGATGTCCGACTGCCGATTGTCGGACATCCCTCTCACAATCCAAGACTGCTGGCTCCCAACCACTCGCCTGCCTGCCTGCCTGATTGCCCCTAACCGCTTCTGCCTTCCAGCCTGATCACTCCCTAACCACTCTCCTTCCAGCCTGATCACTCCCTAACCACTCTCCTGCCAGCCTGATTGATGCCTAACTGCACCCCTGCCGGCCTGATCACCCCCAATTGCCCTCCCCTGCTGGCCCGGTTACCCCCAACTGCCCTCCCCTGCAGGCGTGGCTGCCCCAACTGCCCTCCTCTGCTGGCCTGGTCACCCCCAACTGCCCTGCCCTACTGGCCTGATGGCCCAGAACTGCCCTCCCCTGCCGACCCTCTTGTGGCTGTGGGCACTGCCATCTTTGAGGCAGTCAATTAGCATATTCCCTCCTTATTGGCTGTGGGTGCCGCCATCTTTGCAATGGCATGAGGGTCAATTAGCATATCTCCTCTTTATTAGATAGGATTCACCATGTTTCAGGCACCCCTACAAGCATTTTACCAATAACAATTCATTCAATCCCCATGAGAACCCATTTTACGGAGTGAGAAACAGATGTGGAGATGGCAAGTCACTTGTCCAAGGTTGCTCGAGTCCATGCATTAAATCACTCCTCTAGATTATAGAATTAGGGGAAGGACAGTGTTTCTAATCAGGCTCATATTGTTTCCTGGATATGTTCCTTAATTGTGAAGCTCTATGCTAGCGGTATAAATGAGAAGATTTTAAATATCAGGATGAAAGATACATCCCTTAGATGTTGCTTTACTACTTTCCTGTACTTGTGCAGACTGTAGTAAATGATTGTAAAATTCTTTCTCAAAGACTCCACAGGCGGTCCCCTGGTAATTTATCGAAAGCCACTGCCAGGCCATGAGAGAGAGGTCTAGTGGATGCCTGTCATCTCTGTGTAAGTTACCAAATACTGTTCGTATTGGAATGTGTAAGGACTGTTAAGCAAGATGTGCCCCTCTGAGCTCCCATCCAATGGGTGTTTTTATCAGTGGACTACAGACATGTGGTCCTAATGTGATTTATTTCTTCCACTTCTGTTCTGTTGTCCAGTCCTATTCTATATACTGCCCATCCTATCCCGGTTTGTTTGTTTCTATCCTATTCAGATTTGTTGATTGTCTATCTCTTCTATTAGAATGTTGGTCCTTTCCTCTGCAGAAATCTTTTTCTTTGATGTTGGTCAAGGGCATCTCTGCAGATCTCTGGATTAGCTGGCTGCTGTTGATCTGGCCTGGAATTGATTCCTCAGGACACTTTCTCATACCCTGTCTTTGGAGTAAGTGTCTGCCTGGGAAAAGTGCTTTAAACTTTTGAGCTGTGGTTTCTTTGACTTTAAAATAGGGATAATAAAATTGTATAAAAAAATCAGTAAAATAGCAAGTGCTTAGCAAAAGGCCCAGAACTAGTAAGCACTCATTAATGCAGTTAATACCAGAGAATAATGATAGCAATTATAACATCCACGTTGTTTCAAATATATAAGAATGTATTTTAATAAAAAGAAATAATTAAAAATATATATCCATATATACTTCAGTGTATATTTTAATTAAAAATTTAAAATAATGTTAACACATTTAGGAATCACCACTACTGTGTGTGTGTGTTGGGGGGGGGGGGCACATTTTCTACTATTTTATAAGCTTTACCATTGGTAGGGGCTCCCTACTGTCAAATAAAAGTCCATTGCCTGCCTTGGTTGGGTGGTTGGTTGGAGTGTGGTTCCATACCCCCAAATGTTTCAAGTTTGATTCCTGGTCAGGGCACATACCTAGTTTGCGGGTTCGTTCTCTGGTCGGAGCGTAGAGGAGGCAACTGTTCAATGTTTCTCTCTCACATCAATATTTCTCTCTCTCTCTCTCTCTCTCTCTCTCTCTCTCTCTCTCCCTCCCTCCCTCCCTCCATCCCTCCCTCTGTCTCTAAAAACCAATAAAAAACAACAACAACATATCCTCAGGTGAGGATTAAAAAAAAAGTCCACTGACTGGAATTTGTGTCTGTCTGATTTACAGTCATTAGGGGCTGCCCACAGCAGCTGCCTAAAATAACCCTTACAATCCATCTTAGTGATAGAAAGCTGGTCCTTCTCCCACCAGAATCAAAATGAAAGAAATAATAAGAAGAACCTCTTTAGCATCCACTTCATTCTATAGTTCACAAAGAATGTTCAGATCTCATGTGATCCTTTCTCAAATCTGGGAAGTACATTTTATCATTATCTGTCCTCTTTTATAGTGGAGGAAAAGGCTCATATAATATAAGTGATTGGCTTTCAGGACTCAGAAATTGGTAACATCTGAACTTGAATCTAGGTTTTTTTGGTAAAAGTCAACAAAGCAACAAAAGTAACTCATGTCCTTTCTGGTATATCATGGGAGTTTGGTGTATTGGGAAGTCCAATAGATCTAAATTTGAAGTATGGTTCAACTTCCTACCTTGAACTTGGCTTTCTCCTCCATAATAAGGACACTAATTCCTTCAACATGTGGTTGATATGAGGAGTTAGTGAGGCAGTGCATGTAAAGTCTAGACCCACCCAGAGAATGTCCTTGAGGGCTCTCATTGCATTCTGTCACCTTGAACTCTAAAATACTTTTCACCCAGCCTTTAGTTCACTGGGAAAATTCCAAATCTACCATTCATCCCAACATTTATCTCAACTTCCTTTCCTTCTTTAGAAAATATGACCAGTTATCCAGTCATTTCTTATTCCTTCTACTCAAGGATATTTTCTTGACAACCCCCATTAGAAAATAAGCACAAAGTAGGTTCCCAGAAACGCCAATTTGATGATGGATGGTCTGCCTTCATCCTGGATGGAGGACACCCTGGCCTACATATTTCCTTGCACATAATAAAGAACAGTGATTCATCAGTGGGCAAAATAGGTATCATCTGCTCAGTGTCTAGAATGGGGCAGTGGTGGTTTGCTAAATACTGGGGTTAATATGCCAACAAAATGACTTCAGTTAATCCTCTTTCCTAATTAAAGATAGTAATAGATGTTTCCAGATCTGCCTGACACATTCCTTGGCTGTTGAGGAACTACTGAATTTCATAGAAACAGAGAAAACAGACATAAATAGTAAAGAGGCCATGAGAAAGGCATTTCAGATCTGTTGGAATCTGCCTCCAAAGTCAACAAAATACCGTTTTTCCTCAGAACAGTTCAGAAGCATGAGAAAGGTCCTGGTCTTTGGGGAGTCTCTTAGCAACTAAGTTTATGATCCATCATCCATCATCGTAAGTCAGCATTTGTTTCTTTGAAAATGTCTTTTATTTCTACTCAGTTTTCTGTTTAATTTTGTTTCATTTTTGTTTGTAACTCATCACCACTCTCACAGTACTGGTCTGAGTACCTAGAGTAATGATTATTTCAATAATCTTTTAATCTCCTTTTCTCCAGTATCTTCCCTAAATGATCTATCTCAGCTTTCCTTGTGTTCTCCTCTGGGTGAACCTTTGCTGAACACTGGGTAGAGAATGAAGCCCCATCCTAGCTCTCAGGATTCATAATAGTGTCTCAACTTCACTATTCAACCAACATGAGTCTCGAGTTCTGACCTGTTCACTCACTTCGCCAAACTTCATTCCAACCTCCAAACTTTGCAGAAGATGGTTTCGAACTTGGAATGCCCTACCCACTTATCCAAAGTCTACTGCTCCTCAGGCTAATCTCAAGCTCTCTTTTGCATGGAGCCCTCTCTGAGTACCCCAGCTCACATTAGACAATGAGCTTCTTTTCATCTCTCTCACTGTCCTTTGGACTCTTTAACTCTTCTTTGTGTCTTTACTTGTAATAATTTACTATATGCTGTTTGGTGTTTTGTTTTGTTTTTGTTGTTTAATGATTGGTATCAAACTATTGCTAGTCTCTGTGTCTTACCTAAAAGCCCGTTGAGGTCAGAGACCATGTCTCATTCTTTCTTGTTTCCCTCCCATTCCAGCCTCTAGCACAGTGCTGGTCTCATAAGAGATGCTTAATAAATGATTTTCTGATTCAGCTAAATAAAATTTCATTGGAAATTTTTATTTTTTCCTTTCTTTGTTATAATTATTAAAAGTCCTTGGGTGATGGAGGGTAGTTATACTTCATGTGGTCTATATTTCATTTCCTTTGGAAATTCAAAACAAAATGAAACAAAAAGAAAAAGAGAGAGAATGAAAAGACAGGCATTGATATTGTATAATTACTTCTAGGGAGTACTGATGTGTATACTAACTCTTTAAAAATTAATTACTTTCAGTTTTATTGAAATATAACAGCGTGTGAATTTAGGATGTACAATGTGATGATTTGATACATGTATATATTGTGAAATGTTTACCACAATAAGATTAGTTAAAACAACCTTTACTTCACATAATCACCATTTCATTGTTGTTGATACTGTTATGGTGAGAGCATAAAAGCTGTACTCTCATACCAATTTTCAAGTGTACAAAGGGTATTGTTTAATCACCACCCTACACATTAGATCCTCTGAACTTATTGCTCTTATAACTGAAAGATTGCACCCTTTGACCAATGTCTCCCCATTTTCTTTAGCAACCACAATTATAATCTCTATTTCTTTGAGTTCAATGTTTTTAGATTCCACATATCATACACTAACTCTTCATGAACCACAATATGTGATTAAATACAACAGGTTCAGTCCATGTGCTTTTTCATAAGCTCCCTCCTTTCCATTCCCCAAGTCTCTGAATTCTGGAATTCATTCTCTCACTTGGACATTGCAATGGCCTCTGTTCCCTTTTTCCCGCTTTCATCTTCTTCTTTATTCATTCACACATCAAGGATCTTTATGAAATACAACTTTATCACATACTCCCCTGCTTAGAAACTACTCACTGTCTTTTCATTAAGTTCAAATTCTCTGGTCCAGCATTTAAGAGCTTCCTAGATCTGGTCCCATCCTATGTCTCCACCTCTATCAGTTAATATTTTTCTTTAAAATTTTTATTATTATTTTATTTTTAAGTTTTTTATTTATTTTTTGTTTTAATTTACAGTTGACATTCAATTACTATTCTTCTTAATAGCACCTATATTCTACCCAAACCTCCTTGCATTGAGCTTTACACATAGTACTTTGCTTGGCCAACTTGCACCTTTGCCAGGAAGGACCCCGTATTTCATTCCTTTGTATACAAACTGCCTTTTATCTTAATGATCCATTTCACATTATGATCCAGTCCCTGATCACCTCACTAGGAAGGAATTGTCCTTTCTCTGAATACCCACATAGCACATTCTAATGCATTTAGCACCTTCCATCTTGGATTTAGTTATTTGTGTACATTCACGAATTTATTTGCTGCCTCAAAATTATGTTAAACAGAATTGTGCAAGGTGCTGGGGTAAAAAGGTAATGTAGTCTACTGGTGAGATAGTACTAAGCCCTTAGACTAAAAAAAATACACTATGTCCAATATGATAATGGATATTAAAGAACTCTGAGAGACCAGATAAAGGTTTGCCTAAGTCTGTCTGGGGAAATCAGGGAAGTCTCAGAGGAATAGAGCTTTAGTTCCAACATATAAGATTTATAAGTATTAAGTAGTCAGGTGGAAAAGATGGGAGGTGTCAGGCGGTGGGGTAGGTAGAAAACAGGGAAACAGCTCAGATGGAAGGTGTAGGGTTAGAAAAGGCAGGCTTTAGGACAAACCAAGGCAAGTCTGAGGAAGGCAAGTTATTCATTATGACTGGGTAAGATATGCTGAAAGAATAACAATTGAAGAAGAGACTCGTCAGTCAGGTGGATAGGGCCCAGGTTTTGCCTTTCTAAGAAGTGTGGAGTTAGCCTGTTAGCAGGCATGCTGAAGTATTTTATTTAGGAGAATGAGATTGGATTATAGGTTAGACTCAGGTAGTAGAGTGGAGGGAGGATCAGAGACACAAGGAAACTGTAAGTAGCCTGGTAGGGGATTCATTCATGTCTTGATTCATCTTTATATTTCTTGATTGTGCTCAGCACAGCGCCAAGCACTAGGTTTATAGGAAAATTGTATTTTTTAAGAAGTGAAAAAAGATGTGTCCACTTTTCAGATGAGAACATGAAGAGAAAGGTATATCAGCTTCACACACTCACCTGTATTACTCAGATCACACAGGTAGAGGGCATTTTCTAGCTTCCTGAACCTGTCAATCCACATCTCACATTCTTCAGATTTGTTCTCCATCACTGGACTCACAAATGGCTGTGAGACTGGTCTGATCGTCAAAGAGCTCAGGGGATCTTTGGGGGCTGACATCTCAGCAGGAAGGTTTTCTGGCTGCAGCTCCTCTTCTGGAGACTTCTACCAAAAACACACAAGCATCTCACTGGCAGCACATTCACCACCCAGAGCGCCTCCAGTCTTTTGGCCAGAGACGAGGCCACACAACTAGTACGATTTATTGCAAGGTCTGGCTTTTTAAAGGTAGGAGGATGAGTTTCAAATCCTCAGTTCCATAGGACCATATCTGCCAAGTCTTGTTGGACGTAAACTACTATCTGAGTGTGCGTGTGTGTTTTTAAGGAGAAGGGTGAAATCATGACTTTTATTCGGTTTGCATTTCTGATTTACACAAAGCAAAGTTTTTGTAACTGGCTGAGCCTTTTCATGATGTTTTAGTCTTCATATTAGTGGCACCAACAGGACATGGGCTTCAGGAAATGGCTACAACATCTTGATGGGAAAACCTCTGGATCATGAATGTGAGTTTCTTGACAAAGAGTGGTTGAAACAACAGTGCTATTACCTTAGGCTAGTGGGCTCATTATAACAGACCATAAAGCACCTCTAGTTCTGTCCATTCCATTCATTTAACAAAGGAAGCTGAGGTGAGTGGAAGTGACTTACTAAGATCTTACATTGAATGGTAGACAGAACTAGAGCAAGGGTGTAGAGGTTATGTCTAGCTCATCTTGGTAACATAACCCCATGTTCAGTATAAAATAAAGATTTTTTAAAGAATAAATAGACAAACAAGTCTCAGCGGGGCCATCCTGTCACCTACCATGTAGAGAGCAGGTTATAGTTTGATCTACCCAGCTCTACTTTTCCAGGAATTGCTGCTCTCTACATGGATGTAGAGAGAACTGACATATATCTAAGTACTTAGTATAGGTCTGAGCATCTAATACAAAATGGGTCAATAAACACATTATCTAGTGATTTTGGAAATATTTGTGAGAGGTAAAGACAGAGAGATAGACAAACAGAGATCTCTGGGTGAGAGGTAGCAGGTTTTCCACTGTGTACTGGAAATGAGCAAAAGCTGGTCAGTTGAGATATAGATGATAGATAGATCAATAGATAGAGATAGAGATAGATAGATAGATAAGAGAGATATAGAGTTGACAGAAGAGAAGAGAGAGAAAAGATAGAGGAAGTTATGATAATGTTTAAGAACCTGATTTTAGTTCATTGTTACATTTCTAACTTTAGGTAGCATAATATGCTTCTCTATTCATCCAATAAATTATGTTGGTAGAGTTGATTCTCGTAATTGAAACCCAAATAATCTTAACTAATTTGCCATAGAAGTATGCCTCTAATTTGTGTATAACATCTGTGCTTCCCCCCAACTTTCAAATACCTGAGTTTTTCCAATATTGTACCTTTGTTTCAAACTTCTCACTTATAAGCTATGAAAAAAATCCAATAGCTCTAAACAATAGTAATTGCAATAAGAAGCCAAGTTTTGAGTTTGTTAACAAACATGGATTTAGCTGCTGCTAGGGATGTGAAGAATTGCTTCATTTGAAATAACAGAATGATATATGAAATTGTACCCATATGGATGATCAGCAACTAGTAGATTTTTAAGAGATTAATATTAAAAAATCCACTTCAATAAAATCAATTTTTGGAAAAGCTGCAAGCTACATAAAGAAAATTGAGTGGCGAGTGAGTCTTATACTTGTTAGAGCTTTGGGTCACTTTAGAAATCTGAAGGAAGCTTTAGGTTATCTACCCAGGTAAAAGCACATTTGTATACAGCTTGGTGGATATTTAGAGGTTCCAAAGAGATCCTTGGAGGTGAGAAACTGATTTTAAATAACTTTATATTTCTTTAGATAGTTCAACATTCTGTTTGACCACTAAAGACAGGGAAAAGGTAAATTTGTATGGACCCAAATTAAGCTCAACTCACTCACTCACTCACACATCTTATACTGTTTTGGTCCCATTGCCTCTAAATGAAGGCCAAATTCCTTGCTCGGCACACAAGACCATTCAAGTTCTTGCTCTTGCTATCTTCTTTCAGTCCTACTTATACATATTTTTTCTCCAGCCACATAGAACCAGAGAAAAATGAGGTTGTTTTATGCCTCATACATGCTGTTCCCTCTTGCCACTTACGCATTGATAGGTTGGGCTCCTCCTACTCATCCTTCAAGACAGGAGTCTTATTTCACTTCTTGTGGGAAGCCTTCCCTGGCAGCTGGGTGAGGGGCAGTTCTTTGCAGCTCCTTTATCCACTATAGCTCTTACTGTGGGCTGTTATAATAGTTATTAGAGTATATCTCTCTTCCACCAGAGAACTGGAGACTGGGCCTGTGGCATAGTCACTTATGTGTCTTCAAGGTCTGGTTAGTGTCTGGAACATAGTTCTTAAGATATGCTTACTGGAGGAATCAGTGAATGAGTGAGTGATTTTATTTGGGGCAATAAGAAAGTTGCTTTACCAAACCTCCGCTTCAATTTCCCTTTCTGAATTCTGTTGATACAGGGATGTGAGAGGAATCAATTATTGCAGAGCTGCAGCAAAACCCTCCAAAAGAGGCAAAATAAAAGAGCAAAGTCTATTTTTCATAATCTTATTCACAACAGACTTAACACTCAAGGAGAAAGCGTTTGCTGCTGTTTCCTGCATGGCAAGTGGCTTGCCAAAATGGATACTATTTTTCTAAAATATTTCAAAGTGTGAAGTGCATGAAGAGGCCTCCCGTCATTTTAAGATGAATTATGTTCTAATCCGGGCATTTTAAAAACAACAACAACAGAAAAACTCAGGCTGGTTTTCAATTCTGTCTGCATCTCCTCCTGGCTAAGTGCTGGGAATATTAAAACAGATTTTTACTGCTTGCCAGATTTTTTTTTAAAGCAAAGAAAGAACCCATTATATTTTAAAATGTGATGTCTGGCGAAAAGGTCACCCTCCGTTTCTGGAAGCTGGGCTGAAAATGTTAAAATAGGTCTCCTGACCACCCTTTATTTTGATGGCAGCTGGTGGATGGGTCACAGGCTTTGGAGGGACACCTGTGCACGTGCTACAGGTCCAGTTTCTTGGGGCAGATGGCACGCCTGTCACCAAGTGGTGATGAGGTCTCTGCATGCATGCTGGCTAGAGCAGGGACCAGCCCACACTCTAGGATTTCTGCTTCCCTTCTCTGCCGGAGGAGAGTCTCAAAGTCAAAGATAGTCTGACATCAAGGCATTGGGTGGAAATAAAAAACCCAGAAGGGAGGGCCCCACCCCACATCAGAGACCAGAAGGGGAAGGACCGGTGAAGCCCTCCCCGAGCTGCATACACCCAGGTGCGTACCATATGTTCGAATTTTCCCTGAGACATCTCAGGGACTTCAGCCTGCACTGCGGTGGCAGAGGTTTCCTTTCCTTCCTTCTCTGGACAAGAAATAAAAAGTGGAAGGTTTAGTTTGGTCTCTTCATTTTAATACATACACACATGTCCCCAGGCAAAGAAGATGTTGAGGCTCTGCTATATGGCTGGCACTGTGTTGGGTGGTGGGGATACACTGATGGGTAAGAAAGGCCGATTCCTGGCCTGATAGAGTTCTCAAAAGGGAGGCAGATGCTACATAACTACTCAAAATGATCATTTCATTACCAACTATCATAAACACAACACAGGAGAATGTGAAAATATTTGAACTTATTTTGGGGTATGTGTGAGTGTTAGAGGATCAAAGAAAGCTTCTTGGAGGAAGTGACACTTAAACTGGGGACCTGAAGTGTGAGTAGGAGTTTCCAGGCAAAGGTGATGGTGGGTGCATATGGTACAGAGCGTTCCAGATAAGCACAGACAATAGCCTGAACCGCCCTGAGTCAGGAGGGCTTTTACAGTCTGCGGAGTGATCCTGTCTCTTAATACAGAAGCAGGCACCTCTGCCTCTCCCTCCACACAGGTGTGTGCCTGAAGTTCAGGTAAAACCTTTGTCTTCTCCCTTCCTTGCTCCTTTCAGTGGTCAGAGATCCTGTGCAGGAAGATGTTTGAATAGCATCCTTAACCCAGAGATTCTATAAGTTGCTCATTTGGCTGTCTTCATGGATAGAAGAAATTTCTTTGGGATTCAGGAAAAAGACACAAAGACCTTCTGCTAAAACCCTCTAAGACAGCGGTTCTCAACCTGTGGGTCGCGACCCCTTTGGCGGTCAAATGACCCTTTCACAGGGGTCGCCTAAGACCATCCTGAATATCAGATATTTACATTACGATTCATAAAAGTAGCAACATTACAGTTATGAAGTAACAACGAAAATAATTTTATGGTTGGGTCACAACATTAGGAACTGTATTTAAAGGGCCAGAAGGTTGAGAACCACTGCTCTCAGAGTTATTGTGAGTACTGTGAGTATTCCTCATTCATCACTCAGTACCTTCCATCAGACTGGAGACTGATTTCTCTTACAAATCTGTGCGATGACCACACAGTCCAGATTTCTGGGTGCTTCAGCTCTGGTATTTAATGCAAATTCAAATATGCCATTAAGAAATACATGGAGCTCCAGTGGCGCAATCGGTTAGCGTGCGGTACTTATAAGAAATACATACTGCTTCTGAGTTGGGTTTCACCATCCTATATAATAAAAGGCCAATATGCAAATTGACTTAACAGCAGAACAACTGGTTGCTATGACACACACTGACCACCAGGGGGCAGATGCTCAATGCAGGAGCTGCCCCCTGGTGGTCAGTGCACCAGAAGATGAGCTCACAGCTGGCGAGTGCAACAGTGGTGGTGGGAGCCTCTCCCGCCTCTGTGGCAGCGCTAAGGATGTCCGACTGATGGCTTAGGCCTGCTTTCCAGGGGAGCGGGCCTAAGCTGTCAATTGGACATTCCCCGAGGGCTCCTGGACTGTGAGAGGGCACAGGCTAGGCTGAGGGACCCCCCTGAGTGCATGAATGATGTGCACTGGGCCTCTAGTTTTTCAATAAGTCCTGACTCCTTTCTCTACTGGCTGCATGACCTTGGGCAAGTTACTTGACCTCTTTGTGCCTCAATTGCAACTTCTGTAAAATGTGGAGAATGCCACCTAGAGGTGACTGTGAAAATTAAATGAACTAGAAAAGATAAAGCAAATCCCTGGAGCATAGCCAGTGTTCACTAAATGTTAATTAATAGAATTACCTATCAAAGGATGTTTATAATCTTCTCTGAAGCCCCAGTACCCAACATTAGAATAAGGACTCAATGCATGCTTGTTGACTAAGTGAATAACCTTGTGCCTTAATTTGGAGTTTGGTAAATAAAATCACTAAATATATAGTTCTGTTTCTCCAATTCCTTTTCAGACCCTAGAAGAGAAGGAGTTTTCTCTGTATTTCTGTATCCTCCCATACTTAGCCCAGCCGCCATACAGAGTAAGACTTAATGAGGATCTTGATGACAGCCAGTTAGGCCTGCCTCTTCCAGGCAGGTCTAATTTCATCTGCTGAAAACTTAAGTTGTCATGGGAACTCATCATCACTTAGTAGCAATGGCCCCTGTTTATTTCACCCAGAATGTAAAGGAAGCTTTCTGTTTCCTGTAAATGAAAAGAGGTTCACATTATTCTGAATCATAGAGTCAGAGAGTAAACGGGATTCTAGAAACAGTATATAGCATAAGGGCAGAAAGGTGGATTTCGGTGTCAGACCCGAATGCTAGTTCTGCTTCTTCCCTTTATAAGCTTTTGGATTTTAATTTTGTCATTTGTGAAAAGGGAATGATATCAGCAATTTGCAGTAATGTGGGGATTTTGCCTTAACATAGGAAAGATGCTCAAAACAGGACTTATTATTTGTTGTTGTGTTATCTATAATAATAAAAGCTTAATATGCTAATTAGGCTGGGCAGCTGAATGACCTTCCAGATGAAGCCAGGGCTGTGAGGGCCGAGCCCCTTGCACGAATTTTGTGCATCGGGCCTCTAGTTATAATTATGTGACCTTAAGCATGTCTAGAAGAGGATTTAACATTAACTAGGATGTGCCAGGCATTCTTCTGGGCACTGTTCATATGCATTATTCCTTTTAGTATAAGGTCTAGAATCTAGACTTTGTCCTAGTTCAGTTTCTCTTTACTGTCTGCACTTCTGAAACTTCTTTTAGGAGAAAATACATGCTAGTCGTCCTGGTGTCTTTTAAGTTTCTCTGTCTCCCTCTTAATACCTATAAGCATATAAAACGCTAATGATTTGCACATGTAAAAATCGGTGGAGAAACCCCAAGGCAGAGCTATTTTTTTTTCTTTCTAACACAGCAGGAAGGATAAATAATAACCATCTGTCTAGTCTGCCAGCTGAACATTTGTACTGGAGGAAATCAGCCAAGCTGGCTTCTAGAGATTTCCAGGTGTTGGAAGGGTCAGGTTTTACAGGGCTTCCTGTGGATTCTGATAGTTACACAGCCAGTGCTCTCATTCCTCCCTCCCCCCACTCTCCCTGTCCTCCCCCATCCACTGACTCCCTGCAAATTACTTGAATCAGTGGTCTTCAGTGCTGGCTGCTAACATGCTCATACCTGGGGAGCTTTAAACATTACCAATTCCCAGGCATCACACCAGGCCAATGAAATCAGAATCTCTAAGGGTGAGAACCCAGTTCAGGACTTGTAAAGAATTCCCTAGATAATTCTCAAGTGAAGCCAGGGTAGCTAAACACTGACCTCAGTGGACCTACTCATGAAGTTCTTGTGAGAAGGAAAACAATATATGTCAAATATCTATATATGCCAGACACTTCCCTCATGTTTTCTTATCTCAAGAATAACCCTGTGAGGTAGAAACTATCTCCATTTGACAGATGAGGAAACTGAGGCAATGCAAGTTTCAATTACCTGCTTATGACAACAGAGGTAGGGATAGGTCTGGGATTCTAATTCATTCATTTATTCAACAAGCATTTGTTAAGTGCTTACTATATACTAGGCCCAGTTCTAGGCACTATGATACAACTATGAACAAGACATAATCTTTTCATGGAGTGTGCATTCCAGTGGTGGAGACCAACAAATAGATACGTAAAATAATGTCAAGTAGTGATAAATATTATAAATACATCTAAAGCCAATTATGGTCATAGAACATAGTAGCAGTTGCTATTTTAGATAGGGCATCTGCCAAAGGCCTCTCTGAAGTGACATATAAGTAGAGCCATGAGTGAGGAAACAAGGGAGAAAGGCATGAAAATGTCTGGGGAGAGAGCATTTCAGAAAAGAACTATGGCAAGGGCAAAGATTTCAGAGGGCCTGCTTAGTGTGTTCCAGCAATAGCTGAGAAGAGAGCCTTGCGGACTCAGGATGTAAAGGGAAGATAGTGGGTTAAGTATTCACACAACTAAAGGGCCTCATGGGCCGTGCATGTGACTGGAGTTGATTTTTTATTATTTTGGCTTCTCGGCATTCATTTCTTCTCTGATATCCTTCCCTTCATTACCCTCTTATAGTGACAGCAACTGTATTTTGCTTTGTGTGGACAACTCCTCCCATCCCAGTGTGTGGTGTGGTAGGAATGTTTCAGCTCCAGGCTTGGTCTCAAAGAGTTGAAGACTAGGGTGGGTCTTACATCCAATGAAGAGTGGTGTCTTTATAAGAGAAAAGAGAAAAGATCTTAGAAAGAGGGACACAGAAGGAGGAAAGCCATGTGAAGACAAAGGTGGGGTTTGTAGTTATGCGGACACAGCCAAGGAATGCCTGGGATTCCTTGGAGGAGGCAAGGAAGGACTCATTTTTAGAGCCTTCAGAGGGACATGATTGATTTCAGACTTCTGGAAATATGAAAGAATAATTTCCTATTATTTTAAGCCACCCAGTTTGTGGTATTTTGTTACAGCAGCACCAAGGAAATGAATACACTCACCATCCTCTTTTCGCTCTCTCAGTCTCTCAATATTCCTATAACCAATCCCCCAAAATACTGTTGTGACTTCCCTCTGTTTGACATACCTAGTAAGGTTTTTGTTTTTCTGCTAGAATAGAAACTGACATACTTCCCCACCCTCAGATGCTCAGTACCTTGCATTTTGATCCAAAAGGTAATCAGTAAATGGTTGATGGATATAGTACATAGAGAAATTGCAACAGCAGATTAATATCAATGCATTTTTTCACCTGTCATATTTAAAACTAGCTAGTTGCTAAATATTTTGTCCAATTCATCCTTATAATTTTACTTAATAATATGTCTTGGTAATCTTCCTGTATTAGGTCAGCCAAGTTATTACAGTTGCATAGTTTTATCAATTGGATAGATTGTAATTTAAGGAAATGGTTCCTAAAGAATCTTTATATTGTTTCCATTTATTAAAACATTAAAAAATACTGCCATACACACACACACACACACACACACGTCTGTGGAGTGTTTTTTTTGTGAGTTATCAGTCAGATAGGTCTGTACCCTTGATCTAAGGAACTGCATGACTAAAGTTTCAATAAATAATACCAACTTCCATAATTATGCTGCATTCACCGTAAAGGGCTATCACTAGAGAATGCTTCATGATATAATAAAAATTGGAGAGTTATGCATTTTATGATCCAACTGCCCTAAAAGAATAGTCATTAAGGTAATTCTCACTCTTATTTTTTCTGTACTGGTGAGCCATTTAAATTTCTGGGAGCAATGAAATCAAACCCAACAAGCAAACAGTTGGAGCTAAGCATTAGAGTCAACAATAGCTCTGGGAAATAGGAGGTCCTCAGAGGAATAATATTACTAAACTCACCTGTAGGCAAGTCAGAGGACAAATCAGAGGAAGCTCTGCTCAACAACTCAACAAAATTCTGCCATCTGTGCAAAAATGGAGACAAAATATTGGTGATCAATATCATTGCTCTGGAATAATGTGCAACAAAGCTCAAAGTTTATATTGATAGTTTTGAAGGAGCTTTTTTATTTTCATCCTGCCTGGAGGACATGCTTAGAGAGTTGGGAAGGGAGAGAGAGAGGAGAGAGAGAGAGAGAGAGAGAGAGAGAGAGAGAGAGAGAGAGACATTGATTGGTTGCCTTCTGTAGCCTTCAGTATGCTTCCCAACTGGGGATCAAACTGGAAACCCAAGTACGTGCCCTGACCAGCAACCAGCAACCTTTCTGTGCAGGGAGGACACTCAACCAACTGAGCCACTCCTGCCAGGCTTGTAGGAGCTTTCTGAATCCTGTATTATTTAGGCTGCAATATAGGAAACAGAAGCTCCTTTAAGTATCTCCACTAGAAAGGACTTCAATATAAGGAATTAGGTGCCCACAAATGACTGCAAGGCCCAGTAGAATGGAAATTGATGTCTGTTGCTAGGCTCAGGGTCAGGCCTCCCTCAGCAGATATAGTCTAGAAACCAGGACATTGCAGGAAATTCTGGCTCATGTCTCATTTGCCCCTGACCATGAGGTTGGTGTGCATTTTAGCCACTGGAAAACTGATGCCTGTCAGGGTCTGGGGTTCCTACTACTGCAGGAAAATAAATACTTAAAATATCTTTGTCCCACTTCCTTCTGTCTTTTAAATCTCTGATGGAACTTAAATCAATTTCAGAACTTTGGTGTCAAGAGAGTTTTAAAAAAATGTTCTTTTTAGCCTTCCCAAGTATGGGATGCATTGCAACACAGGAAAGAGCATAGAAGGGAGTAGGAATGAGTGCTGAGTGCAAATAGACACTATTTAGTGAAGTCCTCAAGCAGAAATTGCATTGAGCAATACATCTGCATGTGACAGAGTCATGTAAGCTTACAAGTACTTTAGGAATGCTTTGGTATTGAAAAATCACTTATATTTGCTTGTCCAGCATCCATCCACTTTCCATTTATATACAAATATGTTCTTCTCTGGGGCAATGGACCACAATCAAGGTCCCATACCCTTCCCTGGACAATGCTGTGACTCACCTCGTCTAATTAATCTCTATCACTTTCTCCATTCCCTCTTTCTTCCCTTCCTCCCTCTCTCCCACTCTCTGTCTCTGTATCTCTCCTAATTTTTGATTTGGCACTTCCTGAAATTTTATTTTTCGCTAATTTTGTGTAATATTTCATATCCTTTCAAATATTTATTTTGCTTATGTGAGCCAAGGGCAGTTTCTGTTGCTAGCAACCAAATTACATCTGATAAGAATTTTTATCTCCTTCTTACCCATCAGAAGTTAAGCAAAAAGAAAGAGCAAGCTGTGAGATATATGTCCTAGGTTTTCTAGAAGATTTCTAGTGTCACGTGATTGTATTCTCTTTAAATAAAAATAATTCGTTAGCTATGTAACTAGTTTTGCTTACATTGCATAAAACATTTCCAGTACATGAAACCACAAATCAGCAAAGTTCTTAGATTGGTACAGAAAAATATGGCCTCCAGAGCTTCATTCATTTTGGGGCACATGAATACATCAAGCATAGGTATATAGAACCGCAAGCCAGATAAGCTGATGACTACATCAGCTGCTGAAGGCTAGGCAAGGAAGGACAAGCAGGATCTGATATTAGCACAGACCTGGGAATGAACTGCAGTAGAAGTAGTTCCTGTCTTTTACACTTGCTGCAATTTATTTCTAGGACTTACAGGAGCGCCAAGCTTATAACTAGAGCATCTTCTGATCTGTTGAAAAACAACAGCCTGACAAACAAAACCCAGATCCATTCATATTTTCACACTGCATAGCATTTATTTTTCAGAACTGATAGGAGTTATCAAATATGAGATGAGGCCTCTGGACAAATGGCACTGGAAACTCTCTTGTCCCTTCTTGATTATGTGGTGATAGTAGGGGAAGGAGACTGTGGGAAAATTTTCTAAGTACTGACTGTGGACGTTACCTGATTTAAATGGTGCATAGGACTAATATGACTAATACATTTCTTAAGAATCTTTGAATAAAATGTTTTCTTCTATATTTTTAATTAAATTTATTGGGGTGATACTGGTTAATAAAATTATATAGGTTTCAAGTATACCATTCTATGATACATCATCTGTATATTGCATTGTGTGCCCATCACCCAAAGTAAAATCTTCCATATTTTTTATTTGACCTTAGCACTTTCAAAAAGCCATTGACAACTTAAATGTGAGAATGGGCTCTGGTTGTCATAACAAGACTATAATTCTAATCACAGAAGCAGGTGCCAAACTCCTAATATCAAGTCAAAGAAATCGGGACTAGAGGACAAGGTCTGTGAGTCAGATCCTAGATTCAAACAGATCTGAGTTCAAATTCTAACTTCAATTTAATTTATTAAGTTAAAATGGCCTTCAGTGAGCTTTCTGAGGACTTTATGTGCATTTCTCATTTAACTGAAATAACCACTTGATGAGACATGTAGATAACTTGCCCAAGGACATGGATCAATGAGGCAGCCAGGATGTGAACCCTGGCTGTCTGACTCAAATCCTCTGCCCTTGACCATTGTACTATGTGATCTTGCATATGAATGTAATGTAACTTGGCTTTATTTACATTTTCCCTCTTTGGAATTCCATAAGCACAGCTCTACTGTCTTCTGACATTTATTATTGCAGAAGTTTGAGGTTAGTCTGATTTTTGTTCTTTGTAATTATTTTTCCTCTTTATTTCCTTTGGTTTAGTTTTATTTTGTTTTTGGCCTAGAGCCTTAAATACTTTGTCTTTTTAATACATAAGATTTGTCAGGATTGACATGGGTACATTTTTTTCTTAATTTAGTTTAGAGCAGTGTGAATCCTTTTCATCTGTACACAGATAATTTTTTTCTCTTCTTCCATCTTTGCAAAGTTTCTTCAGTTGTAACTTTTGTTTTTATATCTTGAACAATTTTTCTGTTTTTTTTTATCTTACAATACCAAGGTTTTGAGGGTTTGATTTCTAGTCTTATTCTTCTACATCTACTATCTTTTCTAATTTTCTTCTCTGTTCTTCAGATTTTGTGGGAACCTCTCAAAATTGACATTATGTATTAGATTATTTTTAGTGCTAATTTTGCTTTTTTATTGAGTACTGGTTACTCTTTTTTTGATAAATAATATTTTATTGGAACACAGCCATTTAGTTATGTGTTGTTTTTTTTACTGCTTTCAGGCTATGATCACATATTTGAGTAGTTGCAACAGACTGTAGACCCACAAAGCCTAAAACATTTACTATCTGGCCCTTTATAGAAAAGGTTTGCTGATATAAACATTTAACATAAATGCCATCATACCCTCAAATATCTAGTAGTATTCACATTTCCTTAACTGTTTCATAATTTTTATTGAGATATAATTTACACAACAATGTGTTAGTTTCAGGTGTAGAACAAAATGATTCAATATATGTACATACTGTAAAATGACAAACACAGTAAGTCTAGTTAACATCCACTACCACATATAGTTACAATCCAGTTACCTCTTAATTCTACCTCTTACTCTTTGCTTGAAACTATCCAGAATTCCCCAAGGTTTTACTAATTTCTTCTATTAACCTTTGGTGCTTTTAAAATTCATTTTTATAGCCTTTTAATCTCATTATGCTTATTATTTTCCAATTCCTTTCAACAGAGGACATACTAGTACCTTCTTATATCCTGTAGAGAACAGAGGTGATTATCTAGTTTCTAGAGTAAATCATTTAAAAAAGTTTGTTGTATTTGGAGACTGCAGAATCATGATTCCCTCTTTATGTTTGTAGTATTTTGAAAAATTGGGCCTTCTATGTTGGATTTTCTCTTTATTCAGGGTCAAATGAGGAACTGTTCCCATTCAGCACAATGCAGTGAATGAGTTGTGTAGATTTCCGTTGGCCTACCCTCTGCTCATTTAATCCTGCAGTTAAAGGGCAGGTGGCAACTGACACCAACGCCTGGATGCCTGGTACCCCTCAGTTGGGACCACCTCAGGGGTGGGATCGTTTTACCCCACCTATTGAATATCAGACACTAAATCAGTGTAGTATGTCATAATTGACATACCCCTCAGCATATACAATTACCAGCCTACACAACTGTATTTTCAGGAATTTTGCTTCACCAGATGTAAACACCATAGCCAGCTTTTCCCTTTCCTGCCTTCATTTCCCCAACTTACTGCTCTGTCAATCCTGAGAGTTGTACTCTCTGCATAGGTACAGAAAGGAGTGTGCAGTGTTGACCCTGAGAAGAGGTAACCTGCCAAGGATTCCTTGTGGTTAATTGGGCTCAAATTCATAACCAGGATCTAGCAGCCATTGCTGACAGAGGCCTCTCACATACACTGCACTTCAGGGAAAAAGCCACAGACTGAGCTGCCAGGCTCTTGCTCTGTGTTCCTGCAGGCTGACTGGACCCTTATAAGGGAGTTCCTGGAATTGTCTTTCAACCAATGGGTTGAGACCTGCCCTGCCCTGTCCAATCAGTAATGTACAGCTATAGCCTCATTTGCATATTTACTGACCAATCAGAGCAGCTCCATAATACCAATCAGAACGTGTGAATCAGGATGGTATTATTTGGGCCAATCAGAGTGTGTAAATCTGGATTTCTCATTTGCATAGAAGTGGACCTATCAGGGACCGAAGGGGGTGGAAACTTTACATAAGCAGGCCTTCCCTTTACCAGGTGGGGATCAGTCTTTTCCTTTCTAGGCCTCTCTGGTTTGCACTCTGTTTACCTGAATAAAGTTTGTCCTGTTTACGAACCCCAGACTCAGAACTCCTGTGGCATTAGACTGGTGGCAGTGACCTTTTGTTGACAGCAGGTAAGTGCATGTTTGTGCGTTCTTGAGTGAGGGACGGAGGAGGTGGAAACAGAACTACAGAAAGCACCTGTGTTACTTTCTGGTTGGTTAAAACATGGAGCCTTCAAATCAAAGGGAA